CCTCCACCACTTTTTTCATTTCTAGGAAAAAATAATTTTCATTGGTATAATGAACACCCATTGTACCCGTTGGTTTCAGAGAGACAATTCAAATAGCATAGGTTTTCAGAAACACAGTAGCTGGAGGGAGAGGGGGAACAGGACTGCATGACACATGAAGAAAATAGTAAACACTGAAATGTTGATCTCTTAGGCATTATCTCTCTACTAAAAGAATGAAAATGGGACACAGAGCTTAAAACTCTGGAAAATAAGATACCTTTGCTATTTTCTGAGATGGAGTACTTGTTCCTCCTGTTGGCATATGGACAAAAACACAGAAAACCCATCTATTACACGTAGATCTACATTTTGAGCCCCATCCTCAGGAATGTACCCGAGCTAAATGTCTGGAAGAATTTAACCACCCATGTCCCAAAAACACAAAATACCAGACTACAATTATCAGTGGCATTCTCCTCTGCATTTGTCCCACTAAAACAAAAGAGGAAGTAAAGGATCCAAGTAAGGAATTCCAGAACCACTGTGCTAGATAGAAAATAGCCCTCAAAGTCAATGAAGAAAGTACAAAATAATCATTGAGATACTCAGAATGCTGATGAATTTGAAAACTTGTAAAAACAGATTGCTTCTCCAACTTTCAAAGAAAGTTGATCAACTCGGTTCTGTATATTCTCCAGAATATCTCTGCAGCAGAAAGCACTATATAACCACCTGGCACTGTCTTTCATTGGTGGTTCTAATTGGTCCCATGGTTGCAATTTGAAAAATGCATGGTAAAAAAAAAGGGGCGGGGGGGGTGTTTCAGGTTAAGATGTAGACCAAGGGAGAAAAATGCATTTGGCTGCAGGTATACAAATGTCACTTACCCAAGACTAAAATAGTACTGGTATGACCCAGAAATTTGGAGATCCAACTTGCAGTATTTGTCAGAGTCATCTTCCTTTCCTGTGGGATTGTGCCAGAGTAGTGTCCTAAACTTGTGGCGATCAAACACTTCTCCAGAAGCTGGGTAATTTGTGTACACAGTAACAGGCTTGCCCTGAAGAGTTGGGCCCAATCGGAATTGTAGCTCAAAACCTCAATAAAAAAATAAAAAGAGAAAAGGTAAAATCACTTGATCAGGAGGATTAGGTATTTCTAGTCTCTTACTACAATTCCTAATTTGCTGTTATGTTAATAACATGATCATATCTGCAAAGAATTACAGGAGAATTATATATTTCTACAGCACAGAATCATAGAGCATCCTGAGCTGGAAGGCACTCACAAGGACCACTCAAGTTCAACTCCTGACCCTGCACAGAACTCCTCAGGAATCACACGCTGTGCCTGACAGCATTGTCCAAATGCTTCTTGCACTCTGGCAGGCTGGTGCTGTGACCACTTCCCTGGTGAGCCTGTCCCAGGGCCCAACCACCCTCTGGCTGGTTTTCCTAATATACAACTTAAACCTCTTCTGGCACAGCTCCATGCTGTTCCCTTTGGTCCTGTCACTGGTCACCACAGAGAAGAGATTGGTGTCTGCCCCTCACAAGGAAACTGCAGACTGCAATGAGGTCACCCCTGTCTCCTCTCCTCCAGGCTGAGAAGACCAAGTGACCTCAGCCATTCCTCACACAGCTTTTCCTCAAGGCACTTCACCACCTTCACTGCTGATCTTTGGACAGTCTCTAACAGGTTTAATCCTTTCTTTTATTGTGGCACTAAAAACTGTATCTCTCCCTTCCTTCCCAACATTGTTCTTCGCAAACTTTACATATATCCTTTTCCCTTTACTTACATGGCACTATTTAACTTCCTTTCAATTTGTTTCTCTCTGCTATATAGAAAGTTTTAAAAAAAATACAGCAAAACACCACGATCATCTGACAACATACAATTTTACGCAGCTTTTGGATTATGTAGTCTTTACGTATATAAGTTTACCAAGTCTATATAGTAAGCTGACCCATGAAAACATCTGAAAAAAAAGTCAGAACACATTTAAAACCAGAAAATATTTCAAATATCTTCATTATTCATTGAGGGTTCACTAAACAGTTAAACTACTTATGCTTAACTGAAATAATATATATACTTGTGTGTGATCTACAATATATGAATTGTTTAACTTTCACAGATCTCAACAACTCAAAGGGAGTCTTGTATATGTGCTGCAGGTCACACACGCATAGCAAGAGGTAAGCTTAATATACCTGTAATAATGAGAAAAAATTAAGTTAAAAAATTAGAACCTAAAAGCATATGCAGTCTACTGAGCTAGACATAGAAAGTTCTGTTTAGTCAGGAGGTTTTAGGAAAGGTTTCCACTTGCGGGTATGAGGGTCACTATCACAAGTCACTAATTACAGGGCTCTTTCAAATGAATGAAACAGATGTCAGCTTTTACACAGTACATGCCAGTCATGTAGATAAGTGCAGTAAATCACCTAATAGCCCTAGCAGTCTACAAAATTAGGAATAAAAGAAACCTCACCAAAAAAAAGACAAAATTATAAGTACACAGATAATGAATCAAAGTGTAAAGAATTCTGGACACCAAGTCCCAATATCTTAAGTCAAAAAAGCCACTTGTTTATTAAGTAGAATAATGGAGACTCTAATACCAGAATTCAATGTCTGAATACATTTAAATATAAGTGTTATCCAGCTTTGTGTTTCTCTTATTAACAAAATCACCACTGCACCAAAACTAACCAGGCAAAGCAGCTGTTTTCAGATCTGAATGTCTGTCAGGTAAAATGAAACTCATTTGGATGCAATATATATGTATAAAACCACTTCTGGAAGGTTAAGTACACTCTCTTCAGCACTGGCCTGACATTTTGTTACAGGGATTACTAAAATTAGAGCACAGGGATATATGCCATTGATATCTTATTTCCTCTAAGAGTTACACTGACATCAGGAATGCTGTGCTCAAAATTAGCTATGCCCTCTCAGAAACTGCTACCAGCCAGAAGCACTTTGAGTATTTGACAGCCATGCACTTCTGCGTCCCTCCTTTCAAGAAAATTTACACAACTGGATGGATAGGTTAAAAACGGAAGTTAGGATCAACTCTGCACTTCTTCACTACTGACATTTCCTTACATTAGGCTGGTCAGAAGATTTTGGAATCAATATAGTTGAAGAGAATTTTTATTTTCAAGAACCAAAATCTTGGTCCTTTACATTCCTAGATTAGTAACACACAGTAAAAAAATCCACAAAAACTCTTAAAAATTGCTGCACCATTAAAAATGTTTTTTAAAGACAAGAACTCTTATAGTCTAAATTTGCTGACCAACATAATAGTGGACCAATTTTGGGTTTGGAGTTTTTTTACAAATAGACTTTACAAATAGACAATTGCAGGGAGAAATAACATCAAGTTCTTAGTAGTATGCAGCAGGATACATAGCTCTGATAACATAACAAATCTGATAACAAGATTTAGGAATTGCTAAAGAGCTTATATTCTTAACACTACCTCAAACCTGCAGACTTTGCAAAATGCTTGTATTACTGATAGATTTCAAAATTACAATATTAAAACACGGGGTGCTGCATAAGAAGATAAACACTGGAGACCTTGACTTATGAGGACTTCTTCAGGTCACTGAAGTACAGGCTATAAAAGGAGAAGGACACGGCCTGTCTAAAAAATGCCTTGCGCTTCAGTCCCATGAAGACTGACAGCTCTTGGCCAATCTGCTCTTCATTTCTTACGAGTTTAAACACTCAGATTAAACTGTGTGCAGAGCCCACAGAGCTCTGCAGTAGAAACAAATCAAAACAAAACAAATTAACCCACAATCAAACCCAAACCAACACCACCCCACACACACCCCCAATATCCCACCACTTCAGGTTGAGCTCTCTTTCTGCTGCCATCCAAAGACGATGACGAGGTCCCGGCCATTTCCTTCTCACCCGGCCCCAGCACCCCGACCTACCCTGCTCCAGCCTGAAGAGGGTCTTGTCCAGCTTCTCCATCTCGCCGAGGTGCAGCAGCCGTGTCTCCTTACCGCCCGGCATGGCTGCAGCCGCCCGTTCGGCGCTCCCGCCGCGCCGGGACTCTCAGTGCTGGGAGGGAGAGGCGAGCCCTGCCGTGAGGGAACACAGACAAAACCCGGCGGGTCAGCGGAGACCCCCGGCGGGACGCGGCCGCTCAGGAGCGCCTCACGCCGCCGGCCCCGCTTACATGTTCCCCGGTCCCGGGGCAGCGCGGAGACACAGCACTGGAGGGCAGGGCGGTGGGGAGGGGAGGCGAGTACGGGACGAGCTGTCAGGCAGCACCCAGTCCTGCCCCGGCTGGAACCCCTCACGGCAGCACGCCGGAGCAGCTCCCGTCCCACAGCGCGGCCCGGCCCGCAGCCAGAGCTACAGGGGTGCCCCCGGGGAGGGGAAGCCTGACACCTGTCATTCTTCGCGCCCGCCCCAGCGCTGCCGGAGTGCCCCGCCAGGCCCCTCACAGCCGCCCCGCCGACCTCAGCGGGAAGCGCTGCCCACCGCAGCCGTTCCACCATACTCACGAGCGGGCCCGCAGAGCGGCGGAGGCGCCGCTCCCCGCGGAGGGCGACGGCTGCCAAGGCCGAGCGGAGCCGGGGCTGGAGCTGCCCGCAGCGGCCGCCCCGGGCTGGTTCAGCGGTCAGTGACGCACTTGCCCGCAGCCGCCGCGGCACCGCTCCTTTCCTGCCCTTTTCTTGCCTTTTATCTTTTTAAACAAAGTTTATTGGTTCCGCGGCGGCCGCGCTCGGAGACGGGCGGCGCCGGCGCAGCTCCCGCGAGAGCCCAGGACCCGCCCAGGAGGCGCTGCGGGGTGGCAAGGCCGGGGCTACTCCGCCCCTCCGCTCTCGTTCTCTCCCCGTCAGGTCCCGCCCCTCCGCTCTAGGCCCCACCCGGCCTCGTCCCTCCGGCCTTCGTCCCGCCCCGTCGATCTCGCCCCTCCGTTCCGGGCCCCGCCCTGCCCGGCCCCGTTCTTCCGCTCTCGGCCCCGCCCTGCCAAGCCGAGCCCGCCCCTTAGCTCCCGGTCCCGCACCTCCGGTGGCGGCCCCGCAAAGCGCGCCTTGAAGGGCGAGGATACCTTAGAGGTACCCCAGAGTTACCTCAGGGTTACCCCAGGCTTCTCCCAGAGGGTATGTCAGGGGCTCCCCCTTGCCCCGCGCTGTTGCGGCAGCGAGCGGGCTGATCTCCGCAAGCCTGGGCCCTGCAGACAGGTGGTACCTGTCTCCTACCTCAGCCTCTACAGCCACCACCTGCGCCTTTACGCTCGGCTGGTGCGCCGAGAGGTGTCCCTGCGGGGCCCGGGCACCTGAGTCCGGAGTTCTGTGCGGTTTAGTGGGCACTCTACTGAGGGCTAGGCGGCTTTAAAGGATGCCGGGAGTATCCCGGCCGATGCCTCTGGGCTCCGCCGTTCCTTGCCGTCACTGGAGTTCCGCTCCGCCGAGTTCCCTCAGCGTTCCCGCCCCGCTGCCTGAGGGCCGGCGCCCAGCTCCGGGCGGCCGGCTCCATCCTGATAGGCTGCGCTGCTGAAAAAAACATGATGTCAGCCAGAGTTTAAGTGCTATATATAGTGTGTGGACAAGACTACATACTCCGTGGATTTGTCTTTGACCAAGAGGTAGCATGGTTTCTAAAAAAATCCCAAACACCAGAACATCCCCCCCCCCCACTCCGGCCGCCTTGTTTTGCAGCATACTGTCATCCGAACTGCTGACACCAGGCAGCCCTTACCATTGCTTTGTATTGCAGAACACCTGGGACGGTTGCTCCAGGCCTCTCACGACCGAAGTCATTAACTGCACCCCAGTGTAAAGGTCAGCCTTGCAGCTTTGGAAGGTCAGTCTATTTTTATTGCCTACAAATACGTTAAAAAAAAAGTGCTTCTCAATTTACAGTCAGATAGGACTGTGTTATACTGAGTTTGCTTTTCCTTTTTTTTCTTCTTCTCAAAGGTGGTGTATCTTGTGGAACTGGAAGGAGTCTGCAAAACAATTCAGGCTTAACCACTTACTGCCAGGCATCCCATGCATACCCTTATAAGTGTATTTTACTGCAGGGTGTTCATACAATTACAGTGCGTTTAGGGGAAGTCCAAAGGTCTTGATATTCATGGAAATGCTTCCACTCATTTCAAACTGAAGGTTTTTTAATCATTTGGTAGCTTTTCTCCTTTATTTTCTCTTTCACTTGCTCATCTCTCTGAAAATGTCAAGAAATCTATTTGTTCATCATTACAGTTAATGTTTTTTGACATTACTGAGAAAGATTTTCATTCTGGTGTAGGTGAATACAAGTTGTTGTATGCCCTTGACATATATTAGGATTCCTAGACAGAATGAGGGAAAAAAGGAAAAGTACCCTTGTGAGTGCAGTTCCCTTAAGATTCACCTCATCAAGGCTCATTCAGATATGATTCAGATATGATACTTAAAATTTGAGTTATTTCACATGGCTATTTCCTGAGTGCCCAGTAGAATTCTCCCATTGTCTGTCCTTTGTCTTTTCCAGCCCCCTTATTCTTTACTCAGCTTGCTGGCCTGCATTCATATACAGGACAGACTTGCACCTAGCAGAACCCTGGCTCTCCTGGTGTGCTGGCTGTTTCCTCTGAATTGGATGTGTCCGAGAAAAGAAGATGATACAACATAGGAATGGGAAATACAAGAAGCTTCAACAGTTATGGAAGTCATAGGAACAAAACCAACAGAGGTAACTGAAAGAGATCTGGACCATCTTTTTTCTAGGGTCCTCTGCAATCTTCAGTACCTTGAAGTGACTGCAGCTGGTCTGCCACAAAGCCTTGCTCAAGTCTTTTCCTCCAGGCTTGCTGTTGTCCTGTCACATACTACAAATGGGCTGGCATTTAGAAATTTCATGAGGTGCTTACACAGAGAGCAGCTCTAAGAGACGGAGAGCAAATAATGCCTTTGTAGCCAAGTCCTCTGCATAAATAGTTATCCTAAAATGCATGTTGAATACTTTGTGAAAAGCAAGATAGGAACCAAAAGGTTATTGTTGAAGACAGTTTCTCTCCTGTTACTAAGTTTTAAAATGTGGCTCTTTTGATTTCTGTACTCCATACAGAAACTCACCCTACCCTTACTAAGTTTGCACTGGCACATCTCTGTGTGCATATATCACATACTATGCATTGAAACAGATTTTGAAATGTACCCAGTTTTATGAAAAAGATTTGTTTTTAGTGTCTTGGACAAAAATTGTTAGGAAACTAATCCTGAGCCAGTTATTTTGACATCATATGTGGCTGTAGCTAAACCAGATGTCAACAGTGTAAATAAAGGCCTTGATTCACAACACAGCAAAAAAAAACTTTCCTAGGTACTGTGAAATAACTTAATAATTGGAACAGTATAATTTAATTTGCATTCAATTCAGTGTAAAAAAAATACTGTTTCAAAGATAATGAATGTTGCAGGTCTCTTGATGAAGTTAATCAGGAACAGAGCAGACTTCTCTAATCCTTTCTCCATCGGCATCATCTCTTGTGCTGGCCTACCCCTTATATTGTGTCTGTGTTCATTTACCAGATGTAAATTGAGCAATTTTTCTCTGTATGGAAACCACACCAGCAACACATGAATGCACTAGTGCTACATTTGAGGATTGCACTTTTGTCTAGAACATAGCCAACACCAACTGAGCATTTGCTATACTGGCATCTAAGAGGTGGTTTTCACAGTGCCATTTAATCTTCAGTTTGCAGTTTCTCTGTGTGTGATTATGATATACCACAGCAGGAAATGATCAATAGTTGCTTCAGAATAAGAGTTCATATCGTATCAATGTTAATCATCAGGAAATAATTTTGCAGCATTTTTGAATGGACCCATACTGGAATTCTTCAGTCCTTTTACATGCACCTTCCTAGTGGTCCTCTTTTCTTGCCTCCTGTTTTGTAACACAAAACAGGAGGCAAGAACTGTTCTGTGTTTGCAGAGCACTTTTCCTAGTAGTGGTGTCAATACACTTTGGAGAGCTTTTCACCAGGTGTCACATCTCACTAATGTTATATTGCTTATGTTTTAAAGGGTAAAAGTACTCTAAGTACTTTCAAAGGGTAAAAAATACTCTAAGTTCCCACACTGTAAAGTGTGAAAACTTAGAGTATTTACATGTTGGCAGTGATTTTTCTATTTTTAGTAACAGAAAAACAATTCCCAATAACAATAGTAAAAGCCAACTGGCGCAGAGGGAACTTAACTGAACATCTAACTAAAATTAAAAGCAGATTCCTTTGGCCTGTGTACGGGAAATAAGAGACTTTATAAAATTTAAAGTGAGCACATTTTTTCTCAATGCTCTACACTCATGCTCTGAAATTCATTAATTAACACTGTGTTATTGTTTAAACAATAAGAAGCTTAAGAGGTGTTGGGTCTTCTGTCTAGCTTTTGTTTTCTAATGGACATTTCTCAACCAGAAATGCAATCTTGCAAGAAAGTTCCTTTTCTTTAAAACTGTCTCTGCAGTTTGGTTAAACTTCAGTCTTTTCTGAGTTAGAGCTTTGCTATGCAGGGACTGAAAAGAGAAGCTTTCTTAGACAGTTACATGCTCAGCAGAAATTTGGATATGTTCTTGGACAATAGAATCTAGCATTGAGTGAAAATGTTAGTGAGAACATTGACACAATCACCTATAGCTTTTTTTAAAAAGTCCCTTCTAAATGGCTAAACATATTGCAATATCCTGATGGGCAGTGAATAAATGATAGGCTGGAATGAAAATGTTTATTTAAGTCAGAAATCATTGGAGATGGAGGGGCTAGAACACAAACCTATTTAGTTTGTCCTTACTGGCCTTCCATGTAAGACAGTGTTGGTTTGACCTTTCAAATATTAACGTTTTGGGTTTGTTTTCAGTTCCAGTTTGGCCATTCTTTTACTGTGTGGCCTCAAACAATCAATGCTCTAACATCCACAAAAAGTTAATTTTTAATAGAGTTTAATTTATAATAGAAAATTGTAAAATTCAATGCAAATATCTTTAAGAGGACCATATAAAATGTCATTAAAGGTAGCTTTTCACATAAGTGCTGAGATTTAAGACTCCAATGGATCTATTCCTAAATGAACTGTAGCAGTGTCTTATCAAGCAGATCTATTTCCTCCTCAAAAATAAATCTTCAGACTGTCTCTTGCACTCCATCTCCTTTATGATGCTTCTTTCTAAAAAATCAAACTATACTGAGAATACCATTAATATTTTCCTAGTCCATTAAAATAATCCTTAAATCTTACCTAGATAGGACTTCGAGTTCAAGTGGTAACCAACTGATTTTGCTTTTTTGTTCTATATATTTCACATCTTATTTTTAATCAAATAAATAATTACATTAAGTTATCTGCAAGCTAATACTGGGGACTGTAGTTCTGCTCTTTAATCTTTCAGTGCAGGCAGAATTCAAGCCAGGGTAATTTGAGCAGGCTAACATGGTGTAATATATTGCAGAAGGAAAATATTTCACCAAATGTATGGCTACCGCAAGCATTTGTTTTAAAAGATATTAAACATGAGCAGGAAGAACAAGGAAGAAGATATGAGTGGTTTGCACTAGAGTGCTACAAAGCTGGAATTCAGACTGGCAAATCTTTTTTGCTATACAGCAATCAGAGCACAACAACATTTACAGTTGAACCATCTCCAGATGCTGCTACCAGAAAATGAAAGTCCTTAGTGTTTGTCTCACTGATATCATCAGGTCATTTGGTTATCCATGAGATTAAGTTTTGGATTACTGATGACAGGTTGTTTACCCGTAACTGGGCAGTGGTTCCTATGTGAACACCCACAACCTAGGAATTACTTCTGTATTTTGGGACAAACTGCTGCTACTGTCCAGATTTTTTGAGTATCCTACCTCTGCACAAAGCACTGGCTCTCCATTTCAGCTGGAGGAATTAATGTCTCATACAATACAACAGCTTTGATATTTTGCTTCTGAGAAAATTTGGAATGTCCCTGGAGGTACTGGATTCCAAAGTGACCATGTACTATCTTGACTGTGCAGGAGGCAGCTTTCCATAGCATGTCTGGACTGGGACACTTTACACCTTGCTTGATATTCCCCTGTGCTCATCAATCAAGGATTGCTGCTTACAGCACTTGAAAACTGGTGCAAAACAATCTTCTATCCCTTATTCTTCTCACAGCTCACAATGTTGGATGTGCCTTTTACTAGCTCTGTTATGGTGTGACCAATTTATTAGCTTTTGAAAGTCTCTGCAAACATTCAGGTGAGACTTGGTAAAGTAACAGCTAAAATCCCTGCAGCCCTTCCCATGGAGACTCAAACCATCACCACATGGTTCCTCCTCCGGGCACTGGGCATGTACTAACTAGAACGTTGCCACAACTAACAGTGCTGTGCATCATCCCTCCAGCAGGACTGCTTGTGCTTGAACCCAGAGCAGCTGCAAAACCCACAGGTGTGCTGGGTCTGAACAAAGAATGCATTTAGAAACCATGGAGGAGTCATGTTAGGAGCTGCTGAGAAAAGGTGAAGAAATGGAAATGGGTTGTCTGTGAAAGGATTTTCAAGATGAGATGAAAAAGGGTAGGAAAATTAATTCCTTATCCAAATGAAAGGGCAGAAGAAAAAAGATGGGGGGCAATGGTGGAATTTATTTTGGCTGGCAAAGAAACTGACAAGTGTGTGAGATAACGTTGTACATGATTTCAATTAATCTTAGCTTCACATTACGAATTTTGTAATCGCGTCTAAAGTGCCTTACACTGAAACACTTGCAGGTCAATGCCTTTGCCAGCAAGCTCTTTGCTCCCTGTAAAGCAGAACAATAAAAACTTATAAAATCTTGCTGATATAATAAAATCAATAATTTAAAAAAGCATCACAGCAATGGTCAGAAAATAAAGAAAACTCAAATTTAATAATGCAGTACTTTTATCAGATAAAACTTGATTGTGTGCAACAGATAAAGCACTGGCCCACATCATCTGAATGGCGTGAAATGATTTTACTGAAGTCCTTTATCAATTTATGTGTGTTGTGCACTGCATAATTGGAGACTCTCAGAAAAGTGACAGGTTGTGTGTTATTTTCTCGTAACACCTATACAGACCTGTCTCAAATTGATATCAGGGAACCAATCTTAAATATTTTGTTTCAGATAAGCAAGGAAGTACTTTTTTTTTTTTTTTTTAAATCTATTTAAGTCAAAGTGAATACATATTTTGGTAGAAAGCTATGGGGCAGGAACTTCACCTGTTGTGTCAGAATAGAGATGCGAAACCAAAGCAAGTTTCTGTGCAATCGACTGGCAAACCTTACTTGACTGATTGGCTACTGCCACCAGGCGGCTTTTTACAGTCATTGACTGAAAACTGTAAAATGCCTTTTACCTCTAGGTAAACAAGTATTTCCATATAAATACGGTTCCAAGTCTGAATTTTATGTGTGACATAAAAAATTTTAAAAATAACGTGAAGAACCAAAAACTGCATACAGTAGAAGGAAATTTCGGAGCATAAGGGGAATACTTTAATCTAGTTCGTAAATTAAAATTAAGTTGGTAAAACAGGTAGGTGTGAAACAGTGCCAAAGCTCAAGGGAAGATAAATTATTAATTATAGGGAAAAATATCTCATCCTACATTGTGACTTTATCATAATTTATTTCCTTTTAGATGGTAAGGATTGTTTCAAGGACTCAACATCCCCCTCTCTTTGTGACAAAACCCCCCCACCATATGTAAATCGGTTTGATAGGAAGAATTCTTCATATCGAAGATAAAAATATTGTTAATTCCCTAATACATCTTTAACTAAGAAAATAATGCCAGAAAGCTTGAAAAATGCTGAAAGCTTGAAAAATCTTGGAATGCATAGTCTTATATATGTAGTTTACATGAGAGAGGGGAGTAAATATTGGTGCTAGGACTGTTATCTTCAGAGAAGGCCTAGTATCCAGCATGTATTTAGCCAAATCCAAATGAACTTTTTCAAATAGATTTCAGTATTTCAAAATAGGTAACACTAGCAACAAAAAATTCTTTGATCCAGTTATCCATCGTCAAAACAATCCGATAGAGATGCAACCTTTTTGCACATCACTGAATTTGAACTCCAGTGATGTTTTATGGTGATAACCTTGCTAGTAACATAGAGCTCAATGCCGTTATATGAAACTTGAGCAAAGTTTGACCTAAAATGCCACAGTTTTGCTGAATAGTTAGCTTAATACCTGAGAGGAAAGTTGATTAGAAGGAATCACATAGTAACATGGGTTCTCTTCAATGGCTTATTGTTTCCCATGTAGTTTTGGGCTTAAAAAATAGAATAGCTATCAGTATAAACCTTGGACTGCACAATAGTTAATTTCCAAAATTACATATATTTACTTAATTGCTTTCTCGGTTGTTAAGCAAGAGAAATTCCTCTTTATATACTTGGAATGAAGTCTCCTCTATTAAATTCCCATTGCTTTCAATATTATAAACTTTCACTTACTTTCCTAAGTGTCTACAATAAACCATGCAAAAAAACTCATCATCTTCTTTTCATGTCAGATGTGCCCTTCGTTTGCCACTTGATGTCCTCATCCTCTGACACAGGTGAATAGCAGGTTACAGAGCTTTGTCTCTTCAGGCTTGCAGGAGGATTCAAACCCACCCCCCAGCCCTCTATGTCTGTCTCATTTGGTTAAGTTAGAACATTTGCTTTTTAATAAATACAGAGCTGTTATGAACACACTAACAACAGTTGCAGTACGCTTTACAAAGAAGATGTAGCTGTGGACTTCTTATAGTTCATATACCCTAATGCATTCTATTTACTTTATACTGGATATGACACTAACAAATTAGCATGCAGTACCCTTTCATAGAAAGATTTTCATTAAGACTTCAGAACTACTGATTTTATTATTTTTTTAAGGAGACTGGTATGTTTGAAAAGACTCCTTCCAGGTGGATTAATGATTGCCCATGCAGTAGTATGGGGACTTGTACTCAGTAGTTACAGAGTTAGTTAATCTTCTCCCTGGTTCTCTTGGTGTTTTCTTGGCTTTCTTGCTTTATAGCTCTTTAGCTCTTTACAGCTTTTTAGCTCTTTTAGCTCTTTTAACATTTTTTGAAATAAGAGAAGCTCTACAATGATAAGCAAAACAGTATTCCTCCCTTACCCTCTTTACTTTTCACAGAAAAATGATTTTTTTCTTCTTAAACTCTGATTACCATTTCCAACAGAATTGTAGCTTACATTTTCATCCCTCCTCATGAGTCTTAATGAGGAAATTACTTCCTCATATATTTATTGATATATATTGTAAAGTATCAGACATATATACCCCATTTTGTCAATGAGCCAAGACCCTAAAATAATATCTTAAGATATTTGTATATTAATTCCACTATACTCAGTGAAAGTTACGAACCTAAATATTGTCAAGAATACTGGTTCGTCTGGTCACCAGTTTTCTTACTGTAAATATATTTATATTATTATTTGTCTTACTAATAGTGCATCTGTATTAGTTTAAAACACACAAGCACGTAATAAAGCATCTATGTACTTAGGCCTGCAATTGTATCAAACTTTTTCATGTAAGGGAACTTTATGAATGTAGTTGTAAACAGATTTTTTTTCCCCCAGCTAGGGGGAAATAGCCATATTTCACTTCAAGCTATTGCTTATGCATTTTGTTTCTTAAGTTACTGAACACCAAGTGACATCTCAGCTTCCCAGTGACTCCCATGAACACGATAATACAAGTGTAACAGTCAAATAATATTTCTGATTAGGCAAAGTAATCCCTTATTGTTTTTCACATTAAATATATTTCTTAATATAGTATCACAGGTTAATGCTGCTTTTATAGAAACTGAGAAAAGTGAACGCTGACAGAGCATTTCTTAGTCTGCTATATTTTAGTAGATAGTTTTGTGTTTTTTTTAAAAAATATTATCGAATTAATAGTACTAAGATCTCTAGAACTACTCACAACTACTAGTACACAATTGAATCACTAGAGCTCTCCAGTACAGGTGTTAATTTTAACAAAAACACAGTATTTCTGTGCTGTGGGAGGGCAAAATTCCCATTGGATTTTTAAGTAATTGTCATTTTATGCCACTTTGTGAGCAATTGAGAACTTGAATTTAAATACAGCAGTCAGAGAAGCCTGTGTAAGCAATTGTAGTTTCTGCCAGCAAAGTCCCAGTTACAGCCAGTATTTATTTGCTTTCTTGATAAGAAAGGCCCGATTTTGCAAGCCTTTATATGTGACCACCTTTGGGTCCACAGAACGGCACCGCTAATGAACTCTGTAAGCTATGACGAGGCCAATCTCCCAGTAAAACTCTGTTAACCCAGGACGGCCGTCCAGACCTCCAGCTCCAAAGAAATTAGGTGCCCTAGCAGCCTCCAGAGCCGCAGTTCCGGGGATTCCCGGCGGGCAGCACCTGGGGCGGGCACACGGAGCGGGCGCGGCTCCGCGCCCCGCCCGGCCGGGCCCTGCGCGCCCCTCGGGCCCCGCGTGCCGCCGCCCCCGCAGCCAGAAAAGCGCCGCGGCCGCGGCTGCAGCAGACCCGGGGGGCCACCTGGCTTCGCTGCACCGCTCAGCCTTTTCTGCCGCAGCAGAGAGGTGCCGGAGAGGAGAGTGGGGCTGAGGAGCTGCTGTAACTTTGTAGTAGTGCTTTGGTTAAACTGATGCCAGTGAGTGCACAACGTGGATATTGCAAACTTTTTGGAAAGCGTATTTGCTTAATAGATTATCTGCAGTAGGTATGAAGCAAATTAAAATCTGGTGGCGTTTTTAAAGCCCCTTGTAACTGCTGCCTTTCATGCAAGATTTCTGAATTGCTTTAGAGAAAACTCCTAAACCTGTGTGCCTTAATGAGTAAAGGTAAGCTATGGCTTATTTTATCTGGAAGCCTTGCCATGTTCCTCTGGTATCTTTTTTGCTTCTTGTTATATGAATATTAGTTTCTTATTTTGTTTTCTGTTAATGTGCATAGGAGATGGCTCTATGATAACTGTGACAGTAAATATACTTACACTTTAGTTGAAGTTACAAACTGCATCTTTTTGGTCTTTAGGTCAGTTTCCAACTTTGGATTCTTCATATACATAAAAGTTTGCAAGGGTGGGGCCTTGAAGATTCTATGCAGACCAGCTGCCCGAGTAAAATCATTAAAGCAAACAAGTGAACAGGGCAAACTCCTTGCCTCTTGTTCGTTCTTGCTGAGATATATGGAAACAAGACAAAGTCACCATATTTTAAAAATTGTTTATTTTAAAATAAAGTTATCTCTTTGATAGGGAGTAAATGCATAGTGAGCTTTAAAATCATGCTGCAAATTTGTTGAAAATTGAGAAAGAAGTATTAAAAGTTGATTGTAGGTTTCCCCTGCCCATCCTTAACTGCACCAGAAGATAATTAAGTAATTACTTAGTGTGAAGCTCTTTGAGATCTGGGGAAGTGTCTGACAAAGTAAAGGAAGCTACAGAGTCAGTGCTTCATTACAGCATTCTGCATTTCAGCTGAAGTGTGGGGAAGCTGTAAAAAATATGTGCCTGGAGTAAAGATGCTCTGATAAAACTTACTTTTTTTGTGTGTGTACCGTTTCTTTTTTCAGACAAGCTTCCTGGGTACAGTAAAAGTTAATACAGTTAGATACAAGCCAAATAGAAGAGCTTACAAAATAATATAAGTTGTTTTATTACAAGCAGAGAATCAATCAATGGCAGTTTCACTCAGTCTTCGTCACTGTAACAGAAGGACTGGCTGTAAGGTAAGGACCTACACTCAAACTGTTACAAAAAATAATTTTGAAACATATATGCCCTTGAAATTCTGTTTCCTAGAAAGAACAAGATGCTGAGGTGTGTATGTTTTGTTGTTTTATGTGCATGAGTGGGTGTATTTTAAAAGTAATGAATTATTATGAATCCTTGCTCAGTCCAGCTGTTGTGAAATGACCATGTTTAACTAAGCAGAAGAGGCCAACCAAAGCTAAAGAGCAATTCTAATTCAGAGGGAGGTGACTCTTAGGCAGCAAGACTGTCTGGTTTCCCTTTGTAGGGGTTTATTTCTAAAGGAATGCATCATAAACCCCTTATATTAATATTGCTTATTTCCTTCAGGTGGCTCTTTTCTGTTTGCCCTCTTGTCTAATGGTGCTCAGGAGAAATTTCTGTTGATGGCAGTTTTTGTACCTTTGAGCTGACAGTATGTTTGCCTTGCCTGTTGTCTCATCTTTTCTTCCTCTCTAATATTAGTTTTAGATTTCACACCATGCAGCTAATGAAGTCAAACAGCTGGAAGAAGATAAGCTCTATGAAGAGATCCTGAGTTGGACTGTGTGCATTGTGCTGATGAGCAATTAGGTTACCATGGCTTTCTTAGCTGTTGATAGCTGCAGGGACTGTAGGAGTTGTTTTCAACACAGGAAGGAGCAACTTACTGCTCTCTGTTTATCCAAATATTTTTCAGATTTTGCTTGGTTTTTTTTTTGTTTGGTTTTTTTATTCTATTAATCTCTACTTAATCTTTTTCTGCCAGCTTTTGAGTCAGTTGAATCTGACAAGAATGTTTCTTGTTTCATTTTACATCCCTACCACATCCTCTGCTACTTAAAGCAGAATACTACCCTACTCTTTTTCTTGTCTCTGTGACATGCAGCCTTATTTCTCCTTGTTTTGAGAATTTCTCTGGTACATATAATTGTACTGAACCTTAGCCTTTAGCTTTCTATAGGCATCTTTAACTTGTGTATAAAATCAAGTAGATGTAAACTTTTGACAATTTGGAGAAGTGCTGGAACTATGAGGAAGTACTTTAACTAAATGCGAAAGATATTATCGTAACGTTATCTTGAATATTTGGGAGGAGTTGAATGTTGGGTTTTTATTTTCTAGTTCTTGAAACCTAACTGTGCAACACACTCTTACCTCTGATTTTCTTCTATTTAGTGGTGCAAGGTTGCTGAGGAGCCTATATGTTGAAGTACAAATATAGCATTGCCTTGGAAATTGTGGATTTCCATGTATGAGAACTTTGGAGGAGTTCATGTTGATGACTCCTGTTGTGTTAGACTTATGATGTGCCTTGTCTTCATTTGACTGCATTTTATGTATCAAGAGTTCAGTCTGAAATGGCTCTGTGTGTTTCTTATCTTCATGTCCATCCATGCTGTCAGGGAACTTCATAACATGATACTTCTTATCACTTGCTGCAAAATGGGCATGGCCCTTCCAGAAGGCTAACCAACGTGCCTGGTCCATGTTCCACCAGAGCTGATAACTCACTTCATGTGCCTAAGGATTGAAAGGAAGTTTATCTCTGTTCTCCTTACCTTTTGGATGTGGAAACATTTTCTTTTGTTGGCTAAGGTGTTCTGTAAACCACAGTACAGCTGTAAGCCCTCCGTACTACTGTGCAGCAAAACAATTGCTACAGCTTTTATGAAAACAGTGTTGTGTTGGGACAAAACGCTGTATAATCAAAGCTGAGGTTAAGGGGTCACATAACTGTTTTAGGATCTGGGGTCCTACCATCCCATGCCTTTCTTGCATGCTGTTCCCTTGAAAAGAGTGTGACAAACAATCCATTGTTTGACTAGTTGTCTAGAGGTCCAATATCCAAAAGGAAGGGTTCAAAGGAGAAGTCTTGTGCTTGTCTACAACAAGCATACATATTTCTTTTTCTAAATCTTCATACCAAATTCTCACTCTTGCATGTATAAAATTTATTTGTGGAATTTGCCAACTTGAGTTTTCCTGCAGAAAGAAGAACTTGTTACCGGGGAATTATTTGTCATATGTGAGGAAATAGACATGGGTTGTGGAAACAACAGGCAGTCTGTAATGATGCAAAATTTGAAACTATGATTAATAAAAGTGGGCTTGATACTAGCTGTGTAGTTCCTCAATACTGTTGACCTTTATATATCTGTGAAGCACATTTTAAGATCCATCTGTCCTGTGCAACTTGAAGTTTTTATTTTACTTTTTTTTGAGAGAGGACAGGAGAGGGATTGGCAAAAGACATTTTAAAAGTGCTGTCAAAATGCATGGAGGGAAATAATCCACCTAGCGGATGGAGGGATCAATCAACCACCTGTAGATAGCCTGAAATATGTTATCTGAAAACTTTAACAATGTCTGGCAGTTATCAGAAGCAGAAGTTATTCAGCAGCTGCGAGTGGTGTCTTCTCATAAATGCTTTTTTAAAATATGGTTTTGTATTCTACCATTCAACTGATTCCTAAAGAGGAGTGGTGACCTATAATATAAGGATTCATTGTGTTTAACTACCTGTAAATTTTATTTTCTACAGATGGATGTGTCTGGTTTTTCTGTTGCTGTTTGGATGTTTGTTTGCCTCTATGCATCTGTGGTTGGCTATCCAAATGGAAAAGTAAGAGAAGCCTGTACTAGCATGGTACCCTGTCATGGTAGCTCTCCTCAGCTGTCACCTGAGCACACCATTGCAGTGAATGGGACTGAATTTAAACCAGGGGACAGCATAGAAGGTATTGTCAGTTATAGCTGAAGAGTTTAATTTATTGTTTCTTTGTATTATAGTATGTCTTTCCTCAGTTTTCTATACTGGATTTATCTAAGCAGTGGAATCTTGTTTCGGTAATCCATTAACCATCATTCAGTACTTGTAAAATGAGCATCTGGTAAGTCATTGTTGAAATACTTCCTTCTTCTTCTGGAGTAGAGTTAAACTTACTTCTGGTTTTTTTCTTGCTTTAGTTCATTTGTATGGACCAGATTTTGAAGGATTTTTCATACAAGCCCGGGATGCAGAACATCTGGATAGCCCTGCAGTTGGTTCTTTTGTGTTGGCTGACCGGAGACGTTCTCAGCTGCTGACATGTGGTCGTACCAAGGTAGACTCCAGTGCCTTAAAATGATTCACTGGGCACAGAGGGGCTTGTACTGGAATATGTCTGCAATAGGACAGAGCTAACCCATGTAATCTTGTTTGAATTCAGTGAGTCTCTGGGAAAATGGGTCCAACCTGGGGTATAAAGGCATGACTCACTGCAGCTCTGGACAGTTCTTATGAGCTGTTTAAACTGTCCTGGTGACAGAAGGCTGTTGACTGCTGCAGCAAGATGCAGCATTTGGTAATGCAAATTTTACACAATGAACATTGTGTATTCCTAATATTAAAAGGAGGAGCCATTGCACTGTCTCTTCATCCTCTTATTGTGAAAAAGTGGAGCATTTCCTTACTAAGAAAACATCACTATTTCTGCATAAATACTGCAGGCACCTCTACCTCATTGGTGGAGTCTTCTGGACTGAAAGTCATTCCTTTTACTCTTGAAGCTTGTTAGTATGACTAAGTTGCAGTGCTACACCTCACTTGAGCTGATTGTGACTGACTGAGGAAAAGCCAGTTGCACTGGGGTTGTGCAGTGTCTGTAAGATTTAGTTGCAGACTCTGCTGATTGTGTTAAATAACAAAATGTGTATCCACTATGTAATTCTTGATATGTGTGTGTTTCCAGAATTCCGCTGTCAGTCACACAAGTAAAGCAAAAAAGAAAGACATAAAAGTTTATTGGGTTGCCCCTGGAGATGCTCCAAAACATGTACAGTTTCTGTAAGTAAACCTAATATCAATTCTAATTTATTAAAATGCAGCTGAAAAGCCCTTGGGCCTGAATATTCAACACCCCTTATTTGCTGCAGAAACTTTTTAGAGAGAGCTTGATTTTTTTTTTTTTGAATTTTATTTTATTTTTTCTTTCCCCAGGGAAAGTATAAGAGGATTTGGAGACTGTGTTTTCTTTAGTTTTTCTAGCTACTTTCTCACTTCTCGTACCTGCAATATACACTGTTAAGAATCTTTTTCTTTGCTGCACCTAACCAAATGATATGTATATTCTTCTCTTAGACTACTAGCTTTTTGTGAACTACAGGATAAAGGCAACTCTTCTCTGAAGTTCTAATCAATGCCATAGGCATGAATGTTTCTTATATCCACTGCAGCATGTGGTATTATGTTTTAAAATTCTTTTTCTACTGAGATTTAAGATATTTTCCTACTCCAGAAAATGGTAGAGGCCTCAATAAAGATGAGTTTTACAAATTGTGTGAACTATAGTTTCTTCTTTTTTTTTTCTTTTTAAAGTAGCAGGTGGCTATAAATGTATACAGTGATGATTCTGTGTGTGCTGTGTTTTTTTTTTTTAAGAGTGACAGTTGTGAAGAAATACAGGATTTTCTGGGTAAAGATTCCAGGTCCCATTGTTTCCCAGCCTGATGTCCTCTCCCCAACACCACCTTTGCATGCAACGTCAGAGGCTATGTCAGCTTCACACCCAGTTTCCTACATATCAAAGCCAGTAAGTAATTATAAAGCTAAATTGGGCTTTCTTTAATGCTTGTGATGAATGGAATTTAATGAGATGACATTGATACAGCCTATTAACAGAAAATGTGAGATGGTGGATGAGCAGCTGATATCTAAGGCTAAGAACATGATAGCTACCCTTAGTTGAGTTGCCTGAACTTTGCAGGGTCAAATGTTCTCGTGCTGCACACAGATCAGAAATTAACAGAACATTTAGAAATTAATGATCAGAAAATATTGTGCATACTGGTCATGAGAGATGAGAAAAGACTTAATCTGGTCTTGACTCATGACTTCCTATTTAGCAACTGCGGCTCAGAAGCTTTCTTCTCGGAGTTCATCTGTTACTGACTTCTGTTACTGAGTCTTGAATGGATCAAGCAAGCATTGCTGTTTGATCCAGGATAACTGTGACTTAAAATCAATATATTTTCTCAATGTGTATCAGTGGAGTTTCTACTTTAAAAAGCAAGCGTAATGCTGTAGTACCCTTCTTCTCTTTCTCATCTTACAGTTGATATTACCTCTCCAACTACTAAACCAGAGGAAGTTTTTTTCTGAACTTCTTACTGACTTCCGATGTTATTCTATTTTAATGTCTTTAAAGTGGAAATTTAAATCAAATTTATCTTGGAATTCACCATTATTTTACTTGGTAGTCCTAGGGTAATTGTAGACATGGTTTAAGAGATTGGTGTGTTGACATAATGATGTTGTTCCTTGTATGCTTTTTATCTACCATGGGTAGAAAGGAGGAAGAGAATAGAAACTCTCATTGCTCACAAATTATTTGTTTTCTTAATTGTTTAGTTTAGTGCATCAAGTTGTGGAATTATGAAGTTCTGCGTTAGGAACCCTACAAACTGTGATCCTGGAAGTGCGTCCTGTTTTTTTCTATCGTTCCAACAAGAGGAGAGCTCAGTTTTTATTGAAATGAGTGGTCCAAGTGAAGGATATTTAGCATTTGCATTTTCCCATGACCAGTGGATGGTGAGTGTTCTATTTTATTTTCCATAGTTGTTTTTGTGATGTTAATAAAGTTTGAATGGAAATGCATATGGAAAATAGAACAAGGTGTGGTTCTCCCATAGTGCAAAAACATAGGTTTTTTCTTATAGGTGGATATTCACTTTTCACACATGTTCACAGTTATCTCAGGACTGAATAATTGCAGTAGAATTTCCCTATGGATATCTCTTATGGCAGAATTCAGCCTGTCTGACTGAAATTTCTGGTTAAATCAATCTTTATTTACCCATTAAAAAAATCTTACCCCTCAGAAGATGGGTTGTTCTGAAAACCATTTGCATTTGATCCTTGAATGTTACTTATATACAAACAGTCTTAAAGATGTTTAAAGATGCTTCATTCTAAATTATGTTAAAGTGAAAGGATGATGCTGTTGACAAATGCATAATCTATAAGCTACTTGTTGCACAAAAGAGATGTGCAGGAACACTTGGTTCTTAACAACACTTTTTTACAGCTGTGGAGGAAAAAAATCTTGTATCTGAAGAGGATGTTTAAAGAGCTCCAACATCCATCTCTAGTCTAGTTAATTTAGTAAATTCTAAATAATGAAAGAAACTTCTGATAATGTGGTTGTTACTCTGGGAGGGGAGTGTGAATCATAATGCATGTTTCTATGTGTCATCTCCTTGACAATATGGTTTCTCAGTAATAATACTGGTATGTTTGAAAAATGGGAAATAACAGCTTGATAACTACAGAAATCTCTCAGGTCTTGCTGCTTTTATTAAGTCAAAGAGTTTTCGAAGACTGCCAGTAGTATTTTTATTAGGCTATAGATATTTTTCTTTTCAACTCTGCAGGGTGGTGATGATGCTTACCTGTGTGTTAATGAGGATCACCATGTTCATGTGAGCGCTGCCCGTCTGAAGGAGCGAAGTCATCCTCTCTTGGATTCAGAGGTACATTTTAAAACAAGTCAGACACTTTCACAGATGTAGCTTTGAAGTAAGGTATGCTGCTGCGTTGTGCTTTTCTTTTGCACAGCAGGTGTAAATACTGAGGTGGATCCAGAATTCTCTAAGGTGAGATTGGCTGGGCTCTTACTTCCTAGAAAATGTTAACTTTGGAAGTCTGAATTTAATGTGTAAAGATAGTCACATGATGGGAGCTTAGTCTATTTAGAAACTTTGTGCTTAATATTGGTCTGTCCCTTTGCTAGAACTGCAGCTGCAACTGGTATGTCCTGGATTAAACATTATTATGGGCTGTAAAAATTAGTTACAACCAATTCAAACCATAAGTTGCTATTTTGACTTGCTGTGACATACCTCTTGCATGCCAATTTAGAAGGGACCCCCCCTTCCCTCGATCATTTGCTTTTTTCTTTATATATCAGTGCTTCTCTTGTAGGGTTACTTTTAAGCCAATTACTCTGCCAGTCTGAAAACACTGGGTATTAAATATCTCCTGTTTTACAGAATTCCCTTGAAGAAGTGTCATGGAGGCTTGCAGATGGCCTTCTTCAATGTTCTTTCAGAAGGAGTATTCGTCTCCCTGCTTATAAAGGGAGATTTAATCTGGATACCAGTTACTATATCTTTCTGGCAGATGGGGAAGCTAGTGAAGGTAAACTTGACTTACATATGGTTGCTTTTCATTTAACAGCTCCAAATGAGTTAGTAACCCTTCTGTAAGATATAGCTTAGATGAGAATATGTGTCCAAACTAAGGTTTCCAAGTTTGAGGCCTTTAATTTAGTCACCTTTACTGCTTCTCTGGATCATGGGTTTCCTTGTGGAAGTTATTGTACATTTACTCATATATGTGTGTTGTATGCTCACTTGATGTTAGGAACCAATAACTTCTTGAGAACTGGCCACATCTTTTTTTATTTTTTTAATGGAAACTAGAATCAAAGGGAATTATTCTTCATGTCTTGTGTATGTAGTGGAGGAAAGAAGGTATTTACTGTAGCTGGGTGAGTTGCATTTTGCACATGAAGCATGCAGGATAGCTTAGGTGATGTTAGGTTCTTACCATATTGTGTGTTAGTTTGTATGATTATGTGCAGTGGTCCACAACAGGGCTTGAGTTCATGAATGAGGAATGAGGGCACACTTACAAGTGTGCTGGCTTTCATTAGCAAGAAATAAACCACTTTGTCATTGCTCAGGTGGGCTCATATACAAACATCATCGTCAGCCCCTTGTCACCAATGGACTGTACAATGTCACGGGTCTTCCTCAGGATATTGGAGGTTCCCGGGCCCCACGGCTTATCAAGGCTCATGGTAAGCTGCAGTTTCTAGTTTTGTCTTCCAGTTTTAGACTTGGTGAGACTGGAGGGTTATTGCAGAGTTGGTATTCCCTCATGTCTTTCTGGCATTTACGTTGTATATTCTGTTGACTAGTGAGATCTGATGCTGCTGGCAGAGTGAAATTACTAATTTTTTGTTTCAAGAGCTGTGTTGAAAGATTCTTTTTGCCCAGGAAAATGAACTCGCCCTTGCTCTTTCCCTTAAATTTGTAATTTGGACTTGTTTATCTCTTTCTTTCTATTTCAAGTTGTAGTTGCATTTTTGATTTAGTTCTATTTGAAATGAGAAACCACTTGACTGGCAGTCTGGAGCCACTGAAGTTAATGGGAATTTTTTTCTCCCACACTACTGGACTTTAATGAAGGTCTGTGGTAGAACTGCCACTCATTCTTTGTCACACAGATTGTAGCAATGTCATCTTTCATCCTCTGATGTCTGAGTTGGTGATAGAATGGTTTCTCTCACCAGTATGTACAAAGTGTGGTGTGAAACTTAGCATGTGTGAAATGTGCAGTAGTCAGAGCTGCTCTGTTGTGTTATGCGGGCAAAGTATGATTATCTTTTACATGGATATCTTGGTCCTCTAGCAAGATAAAGGTTATGAAGCTGTAGCCTGAACCAGGTGATATCTTTTTAATCATGGGTAAATTCTGACCATGTGCGTATGGACTAAACTATTACATAGTCTTGGAAGTTGTATTCATGTGCACTTAAGTTACCTATCATTTACCTTGTTGGTTTGTTTGTTTTTTCTATTTTCAGGAGCACTAATGTTTGTTGCTTGGATTACCACAGTTAGTATTGGTGTTATTGTTGCACGATTCTTCAAACCTGTCTGGTCTCATTCATTCCTACTTGGAAAGGAGTTGTGGTTTCAGGTGGGCAGAATCTCCACCTATCTCCAGCTGTATTTTCTGGCATTATTGCAAGTAGAATTATAAACCACTAGATCCAAGAAATAGACTAAACATGCTATGATTTACATCTTTCTTTAATCCTGTAAAGTGGAACAATTAAAAATCATAAGTTCACCTACTTTAGTAGTGAAGATAAAGTCTAAAGTAGGGATTAATAATACTTTAACTATAGATCTAATTAATTTCTTTTAATGTATTAAGAAAGCTGTAGAGTTTCTAAAAGCAAACTTAACTTTTCTAGGTGCATCGTATGCTTATGTTAGTCACAGTCATGCTGACAAGCATTTCTTTTGTGTTGCCTTTTGCATACCGAGGAGGTTGGAGCCAAGTAAGTGTGTACTTTTTGTCTTGTTGGTAACTCAGAGGTAGAGGTGGGACTAAATGAATGAGGAAGTCCGCTGACAACTAATATGTTATGACTATTTCTAAGCAAATTTCTTTTTGCTTAGATGCATCTTTCTTTTTGAAAAATGTTCTTAAGCAGGCTGATTTCAAATCCTAGCAACACACAAGAGGAATATTGTCTCCTTTAAACTACAGTTGAAAACTTTCAGTGTTTTCCTTCCTTCCTCTTTCTCCTAAAAAAATTCCTTGCTTGCAGTATTTTTATGTGCTGTTTTGGTCTTACTGTTTCCTTAGAGAATATGAATTTGTGAGGGGAGTAAGGGTGTGATGGCTGACATATTAGCATGGTAAACCTGCTGGGAATAAGTTTTTGTGAACTTAGACATAATTGCATCTGCTGATAAGTGTAGTCCAGATCAGTAGCTAGATAGAGATTATATACCTGTTGCTGTCACCTGTATTCTACTTGATGCAAGGTGACATCAAAAGCTGGAAAGTCTAAAGAGTATCTGAATTCAAGGTGGGAGAATTACAGTCACATGTGTGTGAAGTAGGGAAATTGAATAAAATGTTTTAGGGTGAGAGAGAAGACCAGTGCTGGGAAGAGTTATAAAATAGGCTTATCCTGAAGACACAGGTTTGAGGCTGGGGAGCTTGGACTCTGGCTTTTATAGTCATATTAGTCTGATCTTCAGCTGGTAGAATTTCTCAATAAAGCCAAAAGGTGGGACAAACCCTGAGCAGATGTACCAGTGTGTCTGCTACTAAGGCAAACAATCTCCATGTGGCTGCAGGGCAGCTTATTGTGTCCTGTTGCCTCTGCCAGTGCTGCTCCACTGTAACTTACTAATACAAGAAAAAATAAAATTTGCAACTTTTTGGTGTCTTTTCTGTCTGTTTATATAGATATTATATTTAAGAAAAATGTCCTCTGTTTAGCAAGCAGGTTTTCATCCTTATCTTGGCTGTGCTGTGATGGCTTTGACAATCTTTCAACCACTTATGGCAGGTTTCAGACCATCTCGTCACGCGCCAAGGTACAACTGATTCATTAAATTACAGCCACAGGAATTCAATGTGACTTTCTTTAAACATTCTTTTTAAAATGGAAAGCTTTTACAGCTTGAAAGTAGGCAAAAATGTTCTTTGATTTCTGCCCCTTTCCTCCACCTATGTAATCAATAAAATGTTTTTCATTGTTTTGCAGGAGGCAGTTGTTTAACTGGTTTCACTGGAGTACTGGTACAACAGCTAGAATATTAGCTGGTGAGTAGAATAGTTGTAACTCCCATTTAACTGATTTAAAGGAGCTTTGTCCTTCGTCTGGGCTGTTGTTCTTCTAAACCATCTATGGACATCCAGTCCAGGCGTGTCTGAAGTACCTTTTTCTTGGCCAACTTTTCTGTGAATTTTAAGGGGCCATTGGATACAACTTAGAAATAAAGTGACTTTAAAATCAAGGGAATTACTGACAAATCTGAAATTTCTCTGTAATAAGGACCTGTCCTTACCTTCATAATTTTTTTTTGTCTTGGAAGATATGAGCGTTCTTACAGTAGCATACTTCAATGTTATTGAATGGGAGACAGGAATTTCACTTACAGATCCAGAAGTTTAATTCTAATAATTCTAATCCAGGGTTTAATTCTAATAATAGAGGCAAGCTTCCACAGGAACCTTAAATACTAATATTGTGGTGACTGTTCTTGTTGGTAGACACAGATGCTGGTGTTTGTGTGGCTGTAATGTGATGGGGCACTAAGCAGGGTGAAAATTATCTCGGCCTTTTTCTTCCTCGTAGGCCCTCACAATACTAGAACCCCAAAACAACCCCACCCAAACAACCCCCATCCCACACCAGAAAACCCTCAACAACTTTCAGCTGTATGAACTCCTTTAACCTCATTCCTCAAGCAGTTTTAGGTAATTAATGGGAAATCTATTTACAAAAGCATTGAGAGCATTTTTAAAGCACACTGGCACATTCTTATTGTTTTTTTTATCTTGTTTTTACTGAGTAGTTGTGACTATGTTCTTGGGAATGGATCTGCGTGCACTTGACCTGCCAGACCCATGGGACACCTATGCAATGATTGGCTTTATAGCTTGGCATGTTGGTACTGATGTTCTGCTGGAAATACACAGCTACTGTCTTGTTCGTAAAGGTACAAACCTAGCACAACTCCTCTTATCCCCTTGCTTGCTGAGCATAAAACCAGTGTGGATTGAATTTCAGAAGGTCTTTGGCCTCTAACATGGATGCTGAAAGGGAGTAAGTCTTGAGTAATAGTATCCTATCTTCTGTAGACAAATGAATATGAAAGAAAAACAGTTTTCAAGACAAAACTGTTCTAGAAGAGTGGGTTTTGTGCCATTTTAAATGGTAGCTTTTCATTTCTCAAACCACAGTTCATAGGGGACTGAAATGTGCGGACTGAAATGCGTAAGTATTTTGTGAGACTCTTATTTTTTGCCATAATTTTGATCCCAGATGGGTTAAATCCAGATTAATTCATGCAGATTTAATCTGCATTTAACTGTTGATAAATTGCTGTTATTGCAGGAGCAAGTTTGAATGCTTGCCATTTCGACTAACTGGGGAAGGAATATGAAATCCTGACTCCAATATGTCTAGGGAAGAGAGGGGTAGTAACTTAATTAGAAATTGTTATCTTCTCTGGTTGGTGTCACGGAGAGGAGCTGACTGCACACGTGAATGACCTGGGTCTAAGGCTGAGATGAGACAGCTGCAGAATTGAAGAAGTGTGATTAACTGTCTGTATAAGGTGGCATGTGGAGGGGGAGTGATTATAAAAGATGTGAATTTGAATTTTACTGCAGTAATTGCTTACTAGAAATAGGGAAATCAACTTGAAATGGTTGGACAATGAGTGTTCACATGTTAGCTAATGAAAATACTTCTTAATGAAATCCAGTTATCTCAAAATACAAAAAGAAAAGGTGTTAGCTCAAAACTCAGTGTTTTGATTATTCAATCTAGCAAAAGAGACAAAATGTTTTTTGACTTCAATGTTCAGAATTTACTTTTTGTAGGTCAGCTCCAGAATAATTTTTAATTTGTGCTGCAAGCGTGATAGCAACAGGTCATGAAATGTCAAATGAGACTTCCAAGTCCTTTTTCAGATTGGATGCTGTATAAGACTTAGTCATAGGATTAAGACTTTGGCATCAAATGAAGACTTTGGTATAAAAATGAAAATCCCCTTCCTCTTAAGATCAGGCTTGACTTCTCTTTTTTCTTCCCATGAACAGCTGAAGTGATAGAGGATGACAGAGTACAGATACTTCAGTCACTAACATCTGCAGAAGCAGAGGTGAGTCACAATTTGGTAACTACTGTGAGATGGGATGATTCTTTGTTTAACCCAATAAAACGACTGACTGTTCAGTGACTTTTCTTCCCCTTTTCTTGCAGGGTCGTCTGTTTAAACAGATTGTGTTAGCCATCTATGTCTGTGGAAATATAGTATTCCTTGTTGCCTTCCTGATAGCAATCAACCAAGTATGAAATAAGTATTTGAGAATTGTGACAAAATACTGTGCAGTTGAAAAATCTGCAAGAAATACCTTTTATTACAACTTTTTTCTCAACATGTCCTTTTTTTTTCAACATCCCTGAAGATGTAATCAAAGAATAACTGCACGTGCATGTCATGCTCAGTGTTAGGGAGGTCTGGAATTCAAATTTAGAGAGGAATACTGCAGTCCTACAAAAGCTGTCTTCTGATGGGACTCTTAATGAACCTTTTCCTGAGTAAAGAATGAAAGCTCTACTTTTTAAGCACACTAGTTTTATAGGTTAAGAGGAGATTGAGAAGGTGTGCTGAAAATGTTATTTTGATAGTTCCCTAAACCTTTTGTGAATATTGTTGGGGGAACTGGTAAGATATGACTGATCCAGATCAGTCTGTCCACTTTATGTTCTCATAATATGTGATGTGCCAGCTTCCTGCTCTTGACAGTCTTGTGCATAAGGAAATCCCTAACCAGACAAGCCTTGAAACTTGGTGAAAAATTGTCACAAATGCAGGTTGATGCATGAGCTAAATAGATAAAAGTAAAATGCAAAAAGCACTGTCTGCTCTAAGAGCAGTGTATTTACACAACAAATATAGGAGTTTGGGAACTTCAGTCCTTTAGTAAAACCACCATTTGCCTCATTCAAAATACTGCTCTGTCTCAACCCTCTTGGTGCTTCTAAATCATAAAGAGAAAACATGTTTTAAATATAAATGCATTAAAACCTATTCTAACTTATCCCAAATTCAAACCTTCTTCAGCTAGGAAGAACCTATCTGTGTTTGTAGATTTCTGTTTTACTGTCTTTGGTTGCTTTGAATTACTTGACTGTGTGAATAAGATGTCTTTATACCAATTGATGCTTTAGTGGGAATGAAAATACTTGCTCTGGAACGTTGCAGTTGTATTTGTGCTATTGAGCAAAACATAAATTGGGAGCTAGATCAGGAAAAGCAGCTTCTGCTAGTGTTAAGTGAGAGCCCTTTGATCTGGCATATCTAGAAGACAGAACTATAAGAATTATGTAACAATTCTGCAAGAATATTGGAGGGCAATTTTTTAGACAACAAAAGGTTTCTGCTAATATATGAACTAGGTACAGAGACTAGAAAGAAACTATATTTAACTTTTTTGGTTCATGGTTTGTCTAAGTATGGAAGGATACTCTTGAAAGGGCATTTTTAAAATGAAACCTTAATACACTGTGCAGTTACGGTGCTTTGCAGTTGTTACGTGGCTCTAAACAGCTTGCTCCCACACATTTTCATTTTTCTTACTGGAAAATACTGATTTTGAGTTGCAACAACTGAAAGTACATTTTTAGGCTAGGGCTACTAAGGCAGCTGGGAATGAAGGTGTTGGGAGTATTGGATAGAATAGTGAGTAGTGAGGCCTGACTTGGTATAGACTTTCACAGCAACATCTCTACAACTGTGGCCAGCTCTAAAATACTTGTAGGTGTGGGTCAGGTGGTGGTTTCCTGCAGTTACCAAAGCTGTCTGCTCTCTCTCTTCCTCCACCTTCCCAAGTCCATAGTGCAGCCTGTTGCATGGACAGGTAATATTCAGGAAGCTACGTGTTTGTTTGTAGTCAGTGATCTTTCTGGCTGCTCAGATATCTGATTTAGCCATAAGGGCATTTATGGAGCTGGGGTTAATCCCTTTGTCAGCAGCAGCTGACTGCCAGTGAGTCCAAGGTGAATCATCTCCCTTAGAAAAGTCATGTGCAGATTGGGAAAGGGGGACTGCCAAGAAATGAGTTACACAGTTGGCCCCATGCTTCTTGTCCTTCAGCCTGGGTTGTGAGTGTAGGGTTTTTTTAGAGAACTCTGATCTCAAAAGCCTGGGAATCTCAGGCTCATCTACTGTTAAAATCTTGTGGGACTCTCATCTGCTGTGAGTTTATGGAAGAAAAATCACTCAACCTAGGCATGATTGATGGCTTTTTAAATTAAGAGTAATGCCAGATCCTTTCTGTAATACAAAAGCTGTACTGAGGCTTGTTTAATTTACATGTAACAATGAACATGGGTTTTAAAACATGAATGTAAATATCTCAATGGAAGTTCTTGTCCTTTTTAGTAATGTGAAAATGCTGTCACAAGGAAACTAGAAAAGTCTTGCCTAGGAGCAGAATGGATTGTCTCTTTTTTGTAGATGTTGTTTTATACATTAAACTATGTAAATCCTTCCTGGAGAAATGATTATTGAAATTGAATGTTAAAATAGTTTAACTTTTTAAAGGAGTTTCTTTTCCTCAAGAAGAAAAAAAACGTCCTTGTTCCACATGTAATTCAACTTCAAAATTGGCAAAATTGTCAGTTGCTCTGGATAACTTTCTTCTTCTACTTCTTGCAGTATTGTCTAGTTTCTTATGGGAGCCCTTATGTGCAGTATTGTAACTTAAATTGATGGAAAAACTTGCTAATTTTACCTAATTTCTGTTCTCACCACCACTCCTGACCTTTTCCTGAATAACTAGTTAGAGGAATTAATGTGTCATTGTATTCTAGTGTCTTCCAAAGTTTTTTGTGTACTCCTTTGAAAAAAAAATCTGTGGAGGGGTTTGATATTGGCAGGAACATAGATGTCAGGTAGAAATTTGTGATTAGTGTCACAAGTAGTTTATTGTTTTGATTGTTAGGTGCAGCCTCCAAATACCGGTCATCTGCTCTTGGCTTAGCTACAAGTCACGTCATTTGCCTGTGTGCACTTTGAACTAAAATTACTTGGTTCAAATGCAATGGAGTTCACACCTACTTTGTTTTACTTTTAGTAATTTTTAGCTAGTTGACATTTCAGGCTGCAGCACGAACCACGAAAAGGTGTATTTAATTTCTCCTTCTTACACTGAGTGCTACATTGTTTCCTGTTTCATAAAAAAAATCACAAAATGGGGAGACTCCCAGTTTTGTGTAATAATGGCCATGTTTTAGCTTTACCCAGGGAAGCCTAAGGAGAGATTGCCTGTTTTGTGTTCCATCAGTTTGTAACACTACGTGGCGCCCTTGTTCAAATAACAGCACTTCTGTTCTGCTCGCTTTCTGTAAACTGTCAGCGAGAGGTTGACATGTAGAGGCTTTCCAAAATAGGAAGCGTTCCTAAATGAACTAATTGGAAAAATTCTCAAGGTGTATTAAGGTATTATTAAAGTATTATTATTTTATTAAAGGTATTATTAAGGTATTATTAAAAAACTCAATCTTTAAATTCAAGCCAACTCATACAGATAGACATTCTGGAATGGGTGTTTGCTTGATATCCATACTTGAGCTTTTGTTTGAGCAGGTATGGATGGTTTTCTTTTGTTATGTGGGTCTTGTCCTTTTGCAGACAACTGAAGATGAACAGCGATCACTAAGGGGAAACTGCAGTATTCTGCATTTCTGTGCAGAAGTTAATACCTCAGTGGTGTTAGACCTTTGGTGCAGCCTGTAGTAAGTGGTGTCCAAGTGAATGGAAGGATGGTTAACAGGGATGATCTGCTAGTAGGTCTGAGAAACTCTGCTCACATAAATCTGATTCATTCTCTAAGGGGGTTTGTGTGAAGGAGGAAGTGGTTGTGTATACCTGAGGAAGTGGCACAGGACAAGTTCTTCAGAACAGGCTTGGAACCACCTGGTTTAGTTCATACCTGACCTAGTTCAACCACTGTTTAGCTTCTGTTGGTCTTCCTTCTACTGTGCAACAGTGATTTTACATAATGTAAACCACAAAACTGCATCACTGAACCAGCAATTTATCACAATCATCCCACACAAATGATGTGCACTTAAGAACTGCAGGTTCAGCTTTGCTTCCGAGAGACTTTCGTCTTGTGAGGTCTTAGAAATCACTTGGCTTTAATGATGAATTAGAGTTTTGCATGCCATCTCTACTGACATTTGAAAAGATGATTTACCACCTTTCTGTTCCTGTTGATACAGTATGCAGGAAAACTCTGGGGCTGTAGCACTCAGATGATGAACATTCCTACTTTCCAGAAGAACAAAACTTTTCCTTTAAACTACTTTGACTAATATTGTGATGGTAGTTGCTCCCTTTTTCCATATTATTTAAGTTTAATAGAACAGGTTGTTGGGGTAGCAGAGGATGAGTGTCCATAGTCATCTGCTGCTGTAGCGAAAACTGTTTGTGACTACTTCATATCATTCACCTACTTTTGTTTTTTGGTGTATCCTTAAGAGTTGAGGCTGAAGCCTTCTGCTCTCACAACCAGCAAATAACAGAAAGAAGCATAAGAAAAAAATCCACTATAAAACAACAACAACAACAAACAACAGGATAGACATAGAGGAACTGTACTATAATAAAATTTATTTGTTCGTATTTATTATTCTACTCTCCAGGTAACCATTTCTGACAAGTGTTAAAATTTGAGAATATTACCCACATCAGAGTGGGAGCCACCAAATGTTTAGAGGCTACAAATCAGTCAATTACTACCATCTTGCCTCAGTATGAGGTAGTAACTTCGGTTTCCTGCTTTGGAAAAAATACCAGTGAAAAATTATAGTTTAGTGGGTTTTCTTTGGTGTTTTTGATTTTTTGTTTTTTTTTTTGCTGGTGCATAATTTGAGTCAGGTATACCAGAATGACACAAACTGAGCCTTATCTGTTTAGTGTTACAAACAAGGCTAAGACCTAGTGAATTAAAGCTGTTGTACTGATTTCAATATAATGGTGTAGTGTGCTATGAGGCACTTTTTCTCCCCAAGAACTATGCACTGGAAAATCTGACTAGGATGGGATTTTTGTAGGTGTGATTGAACCTGCTTTTAGGGTCCTTACCTCCTCTATCATGTGGAAAGAATTAACCTGTTTTTTGGTGGGAGCCTTGAAACTTGCTGGAGAACTGTGCCCAGCAGTGGCTGCACCTGTAACAGATTTTTGTTTTCAGCTGCAGGACAAGCCACTGGCAACTTGGTATTTTTGATGGGAGGCTTGCCTGATTTTAGCTCCCCAGCCAACTGAAACCTAAACAGTATAACAGTATGGTTGTTGGTGGTTTTTTGGTTTTTTTGTTTGGGTTTTTCTGATGGACAGGCACTGCCTGTTTGGCAACCAGTTTCTTGGAAAAGCAGGGCTTTCTCAGCAAGCTGGGAGGTGAAACTATGCTCAGGAGGTCAGGATGTTCTGTCCTTATGCACAGGATTGATCTGTGAGGTTGTGGGTGGGCAGCATGTTCGTGGGATGGTGAAGAGAGCAGGGTGTGAGGATGGCTACACTGTCATATGTAACATAGAAGGGTGAATGGACTGTGGAGCTCTAGAAGGTGGCTAAATATTTAAGTATGCTGGCTTAATTATTTTTGGTTTGTTCTGCTGTCATTTAAAAAGGAATGCTTTACATTTCATCCAAGGTAGTATAATAGGAAAGCACTTTTTATATTTACATTTCTTCCTGCTCCTCTCTCACATTTTGCTTTTTATTAACCAATGCTGTTACAAAAAGAATGCTGGAACAGCATTTTCAGTCAAAATCAGATAGATTGGCACACTTTAATGTGAAACAATGTCCCGTGAAGTTCCATGGAGATAGATGTTTATCTGCTCTGTGTATATAGCAACAGCATATTTCTGATTGTGAGAATAGGTATGCACATGTCTTTATACTTTTATATACACTGCATTTATGGCCTTAGGTAACTTCCCACTACTTTTAACAAAATCCAGGGTGTGATTTGTGTGTATGTGGCAGTTGGTCAAATCTGAAAGTCTGTTGAAGTCCATTGTATTTTGCAGAGGGCAAAATAGCCCATGAAACAGAGTAACAAAACAAGCATTATGATCCAGACAAAGTATGTGGAAGAAGGTCTTCTTAGCTTTGCTTTGAGTGGTAAATTTTACTTCCGTGTCATTATAGCTGTTAAAGCACCTTTTTCCCCAGCTTTGCCATTCTCATCCTCAGAGCTGCAAAAATAAACAAACAAAGCCATTGCATTTTAAGTCTTTCTATTTCTGAAGCAAAATCTCCTTATTTAGAAAAATTAAGAATACACATACCTCCGGTGGTTAATCCAGCAGAATAAGCATTGTTTTATTGTTATAGAAAGAAATCAGTAGAAGGTGTTAGTTCTGGTAATTTTGCAATAAAGTGAACATGTTAAGAAATTACTCCATAACTGCTATTTAAAAATTAGCACAGCTATCTTCTGTTTTGTCTCTGTTCCCATCACTAACACATTAAATAGAGTTGGTTTTGCCCTTGACTGGATGCTGACAGATTAAAAGGATGCATGAATAATTAAACAAACTCTTTGTTTAAGGTAAACTCCTCAGTGGGAGCTGTAACTATTTGCAAACCTTTTCCTTTTCTGTGATGCTCAAAGAAAACTTTCCTCTCTTCCTGGTGTTGTGAGTCAGAGCAGGAGTTAGTCATGTTCCTGATTTCATCTGATGCAGTAACAGTACCTGTATAAACATTAGTATGGCTATTGTCTCTATCTGGATATAATGTGGGTAAGTTTGAAAGGGACAGAGCAAGGCCAATGATTCAATGTTAAGGTTATTTTTAGAACAGCAATATAATGCAGTTATTTGATATGTAAAAGCCTCCCCCCAGCACATTGTTGATCTGGGAATGTAATGGGAATAATCTTCATTACTCTGACCTGTTAGTTTGAAGAGTCACCAAAAATAGCATGTCTCATTCCTGCATATGTCTCTCTGCTGAGACAAGAGGGGTCAAAGCAGCTGTTTACTTGATTCACACATGTCAGCAAATGTCCAACTTAAGTTATGTTTTGAATGTTGAAGTTGATGCAAATCATAGAAGCATCTGAGTGTAACTTTATATCATGGAACCACTAATGTTAACCTTGGCTCTTACAAAGACACTGTGTACTTGTTACAGGCAGAGGAATTCTGAAGGATTCAAGCCCTGGACATGGTTTGAGAGCAGTTAATTTGTTGCCTCACTTATAGCTCATAGTCTGCTTTTGTCTTGCTCTATACATTACAGAAACAGATGGTGTGCATGAATTAAAAAGGATTTTTGTATTTTACTTTCTTCAGCACAAATGGAGCTGTCTCCATTTTGTCTTTTGAAGGTTGCAAAGCTTCCAGTGGGAGGAAAACAAAATAGCTCATCTAGACTAGCTAGCTGCCAAAAGCCTTGGACCTTTGTCCCATGAGAGCCTGTTCCCCACTGTCAGTAGGTTTTGCTGCTTATTCAGCTTTAGTTTTGCATTTCCTTATTCATTTCACTATGTCTAGTCTTTGTTCCCTCCCAAGGACTTTTCATTTCCCTAATGAGTATTGAATCTTCAAAACATTTGCACTTGAATTAATTTGCCTGAAATTTAAAGAAGAAAATAAGCTGTAATAATGCAAATATGGGTGTACCAAGTACACTGCTGTCATCCTTTTCTCTGTATGTTTTTTCTGAGGGCACATACTTTGGGATATTTATGGGGAAAGGAGCTTGTGGGGGAAGGGTAATTGCTGCTATATGGAAAGAGGTATGTCCTAAATCTTTGTAAGATTGTGGGTATGTAAACCTTCTAATTTAATCTGATATGTCTCTATATAGATTGGCACATTGAACAATGCCTCTGCTTCTTTGTCCTTGGCCATTGCTAACTCATTCAGTGACTTGTTCTGCAGGTTCATTTCTTTCCAAAAGAAAGATTGTTACATAAGGGGCCATCATGCTGGTCTGTCCTGTGCTTCTTTGCTTTCCATTGTCTTTCAGAGTCCTCAGTGCTTGTTTAATTTTTAAATGCTGCAAGTGCTTCCCAAAGCTTTAGTTTCCAAGAGGATTAGTTTTTCTGTTTTACTGTTTGTTGTTTTAGTAAAGAATGATGAGCTACCAAAAGTGATTGACCTCACTCTTTTCTCTGGTGGCATTTATGGTGAACCGGCTAGGTAGGGATAAATGACTGCTTTGAAAACAATATATTTCTTTAAGAAACAGCTCTGTATAATACATTGTTCTAGATTGAGAGGCTTTCCTGGTTTTGTTTCCCTTTTAGGAGTCTCAGTAGGATTATAGGGCTGCTTGGGAAAGATTGAGTCACTTCCTGGTTTTTTCCACTGATCAAAAATGTCCCAGGGAGTGGCAATAAATAAGTGGGGGGCTAAAGAAGAAGATGGCTTAGTTCCAAATTCTACTAGGCATGGAAATACTCACTTGGAGGCAGTGCTGACTGGGGGAATTCTTGAAGCAATTGCTGAACTCCATGTAATTTAGCTGGGATCCATTTTTCCCAATTGGCCTTTTTCTTATCAATGGAATAGTTGTAAGTAAATGGTTGAGACCAAATACAGATTTACAGGACAGGTTCTCAAATATCTTTGCTATATTTGCGCTTCGTCCCCTTTCCTGAAAGTCAGCATTTGTTTTCCGCTGACCTCAAATGGGAGAGAACCCAGATTGTTTGGGAAGTGTCTAAATGGAAAGGGAAAAATATAGACATTTCACATGGTTCTCCTGGGAGACAAAAATAAGCGGGGCTTGGTACGGATAGAGGTGCTCAGCTAACATCCCATGGCCTGTATATGGCCCACCTGAATGGTACTGCCAGCTTGTAGTTACTACTTGGAAAACCCTTTCCCAGCGTATGTCCAGGAGCACCCATTCAGCAGGCTGTGGGATGAGTGACCTGTTTCAGTAGAAACCTGCTGGTGGGTGGGTGAGTGTCACTTCTCCATTATCCTATACTTCTGTGATGAGGGAATGAAGGGACCATCCCCAAAATATAATGGACTGGAGCAGCTTCTGGAGTGATTTATCCTGCCTGTAGTAACTACTTCTGCTTCCAGTTGCTGGCATAAGACCTGCTGGCAGGAGCCTTTGGTGCTGGAGGACACAGGGAAGTATACAGATGGCAGGATGGTGCTTGAGGAAAGCAAAGGTCCTCTAGAAATGGAAAAGTGTAGTGGCCTTATTGATGAGAGAGGCCAGGAAGCACTGCTGGAATATTTCTGATGGTTGTGTGCATGACTCCATGATGTTGATACTCCTAAAAGCCAGAGCCTTGCTTGCTGAGCAGCTTTTCCCAATCAGCCTCTACTGAAGCAAAAATACTTGAAAGTTGTTATATTATCCAAATATCATCCCCTCTCCTGGCTTTACATGTAGTGTAAAGAATACCTGGGTTGTCAATACAGTTTTAGGCAGGGCCCAAACTTACATTTATGCTGCAAATTGTCCAGAGGAGAGAATGTGGGATCAGGACCCCTGATATCCCTGTAATTCAACCAGAGTATTCTTTCCTTCAAGTGGAATATGATTACTGTCTGAAATCTGCTACTCTATGAGTATACTTAAATGGAGTTTAATTGTATGCATCAAAGTGCAACATAATCATAAAGAAGAGTTTTCTCTGTTTCTGGAATATTTTGCTACTGCTTTCAAACTTTTATTATAAAACTTAATTGTAAGAAATAGATACTGTATGTATTAATAGAATTTAAAAGTATTCAGAAATAACTGTGGACTGCTGGACTAACAGTGTGTAGTGATGAAAACTCTTTCATTATCTTTCAGAAGCTATAAAAATGTCTGACTTGAGTTAATGAAAAAAATGTTAAAAATGTGCATGAACACTATCAAGACAGTGTTGGAAATGTTGATTCCTCAAAAATACAAAGTAAAGCTGGTTATTAAACAGTCTTTCTTATTTAAGGAGTAACTTGAATAATCTAGGAAGTAGCTGGAATGCAGACAGGCAGAAAAACATGCCAGTGAGGGAGGAGGAATTGTTAAGTAGCAATGCTGTTAGTTACCTGGAAGAAATGAAAACCAATTCTAATTTTGGTAGCATTAATGGAACTTGAAAGAGAACCACTTTTAATTTTTGAAGGTTACAGGAATGACATTTCTGCGATAGTTTAGTTTATTTTCCAAATTTTGAAATGGTAACTAGTGCATTGCTAAAGACAAAATAATTCAACAGATCCAAAATGTAGATTGGTATTTGTTAACAAATAAGCAAAAAAATTGTTATTAATAGCATATTAGTCTGAAACGATCCAAACAATATAAGTAACACAGTTGCTAGCAGATAAGAGCACTATTAATTACTACATGAGCAAACAGCAGTGACATGATTTTCCTTTTCTGTTACCTGTTAGCGAGGGGTCTTCTGTACCATCTCCAGACATCTGGCTGTGAAGATGAGCATGGTGTGTTGGTGAGCTTAAGCGTTCCTCTTGTTCTTGCAGGGAGATGGAATTTTTGTGAGGTACCTTGTTTAGCCTTGCACCTGGACTGCTCACAGGGTTTGTCTGTTGGGCTTCTGTGGTTTTCCTGTTTGGTGGCTGATAAACTTGACTATAATGGCCTATGGGATGATATGCTGGTTTCTCTGATTTGCTGTCATCTTCATCATCATCATCGATGATAACTAGCTCTGCACGGATAACCCCATCATATCGGGACAGCTTCTGGTTTGCTTCTGCATCGTCATCATCAATGCGCTGATAACCCATGAAAACCATTGTTACAGGTTCAGATTCATCCACGTAGCAAGGTACAGCCTGGACAATGTTGTACCTAACATCTTCCTCATCTTGAGGTGCAGGGGGTGCTTCATTAGGATGACAGGGATTTAAAAACCTTGTTTCGCTATGTCTTTCCCTTGTATTCTGGTAAGGTTTTAATTCCTCATGTGGAGCATTTCTTTCTTCATTATGGATTATCCTTTTCTCAGGATTAATGTGCACTTTCTTCTCTGTATTGGAAGTTACTGAAGAGGGAGACTTTTGTTGTATTACCTTTGGAAGATCGAGGCCATTCTCTTTGTTTTGCTGCTTAAAGGGCTCTGTTTTGGAGGAGAACTCTGTCTGATGATTGCTAAACCCATTCACCTCTTTTTTGTCAGTGCCTTCTGGTTTTGGTCCAGGGACTAATTTGTCTTTCTGAGGAGTTACTGGCCTGCAGAATTTGTTTGCAAACACAGGTTCATGGTACTCTGTGGGAGACTGAGAATTTTTTTCAGTTGCCTGCCGTAGCAGATCTTCCACTTCAACAGGAGCAAGTTCATCCATCCCATTTTGTGTTGTGCTCCCATTGGAGGACACTGCATAGACTGACTTCCTGCCATCATCATAGACTTTAATTCCTGTCTCTTTAAACTCCTTTGAGGGAAGGGGTATTGTTGATAACACTGTGTTTTCACCTGTCTTCATGTCTTTTTCAACCTTAATTTCCATGGCAAACAATGCTGTTGAAAGAAACAAGTGCTTAAACTGGTCATGCAGTAGCTGCAAGAAATATAGGAGTTCTGACAGTGATAGAGAACAGCTGTCAGAATGAATTATTAAATATGTGAAATTATCACATACACAACCAATATATTAGATTCCCATTTTGAATGTCCCCTTTAATCCTTGTGGAAAAAAAAATCCTTCTGTGAGGAAAAGTCAGCTGTTGAGGAGACAGTTTTCATTATAGGATAGACTGAGAAATCCAGATTTAACCTTGGCCCCCGGCATTATGCTGGGCAATAGCAGCAGAAGAGCTCCATATGCTGTGATGCCAGAGAGTCTTGGGTGCTTTGAAGGGTTAGGAGGCTTTGTAGTAGTTGGGAAATAACCAGAATACTGCTGGCTACCCAGCAGCTGTAAGTGCAGATAGAAAACGCAAAATGAATGATATAAAGGGAGTCTCTACTTAGTTATGACAGGCAGAGGAATGAAGTGCTGGAAAGAAGTGTCAGTGGTGAAAAGAGTTATCCTCAGTGACACATACCTTACACCGCTGTCTCACCTCTTAGTTTTGATGAGCTAACTGTAACACTGCTTAAATAAGAACAAATGTTTCATATCTCTAATGTCTATTCTTTGCTTAATCTGTATTAGATTCAATAAATAGGGAGATTTTGTACATACTGACATCTTCTGGAGTTGCTAATAAGCAGTACCTTTTCTCTTTTCTTCGTCATCCATGTCAGCATGTGCTGTACTTCTCAGTGTAGAAGGTCTGAAATATTTGGGAAGGTCAGGGATGCTGGCATATATGTAGTCTGCTGCCTCTGAGTAAAGAAGATCCATAGATCCACAAAGCATTAGTATGTTTTAACTTACTTCTACAGGAACCTTTTAAAAAATATTCTTTTCACTAAACGTACCTTTTTCAAATCCAGCTTTTTCAGTCTTCACAGACTAGGTGGGAAAGAGAGCCGTTAACAATAAATGTGATAGTTACTTTTAAGGTGTTAACTAGACAGTGCTTTGGTTTCCCTGATAGTTTTAACCTTTTGTGTGCACAGCTTCGTACAGAGAAGGGGCTAAAAGTGAAATGTGCTCAGTTGGAGCATGATGAGTGAGAAAGGGAAATTTCTGTGGTCTTTTGCCGATATGATTCCAAGTCACACAGGGAAGGACAAAAATATTATGAAGTGTCAAACAGTGACCTAGCTTCCCACCGTGGCCCAACCTGGTTGGCGTCAAAGATTTTTTTTAAAGGTCCTACTTTGGCTTTCCAGTTTTATGTATCTCCCTGTGTATCTTCAGAGAATGTGTGTGTATGTCAGAACAGCTGGAGAACTGAAGTTTAGTTTTATCACTGTAATTTTTGAAATGGTTTAAGACAATTTAAAAATATGAAAATTGCCTTTTGACAAAGACTAATGGCTGAAAACATTAAAATACATCATAATCTCTATCATGGACTTGGTGGAAAACATGATGCAGTTTAGCTGGGCACAGCACCTGAAGGAGCAAGAATGGACCAGCCTCTGTACCTGGTCTGTACCAGGTGTGTCTGTCTCTGGCTGAGATGTAAAGGTGCTGGGTGTCAGTGGCAGTGCTGTTTTTAGAGATGTGCTGTGCTTGAGTGAAGATAGGAATTGCTCCCCCACCCCCAAAAAAAAGCAAATGTAGGCATACGGGCACTTAAACAATGTAACATCTTGATCCCTCTGGTGTTTGAGCTGCTGTTACTTCAGATAAAAGCTCATGACCACTCATGGGATCCAGCTAGTTCCTCTTTCCCTGGATATGATGGTGATTGAGTAATAAGTTCTATTTCTGGAATAATATAGCACTAACCTTTATTATGTCTTCTGTTGTTTTTTCAACAGACTTCAGTTTCTTCAAAATTGCTTCTTCCTTAGCTGAGACTTCCAATTCCTGTCTTTCCAGAGCCTCAATTTCCTTCTCCAGTCTGCAATCACAGTTACAAAGAACAACATTGTAGAGTTGATACACTGGGAATATGGACATTAGTAGGGATGGTTCTACTTACCTTGACAAACTTTGATCTTATGAGATCAACTTGAAATTTCACACACACTGGGAAATAAGTATTTTCATTTAAAATGAAAAAACCCCAAACCCAACAACAAACAATGCCTTCCACATGTAAATGTGAACTATTTTGCCATTTAGGACTTGTCTGATGAGTTAACTCTTTTCTTTTAAAAATCTTTATTGTTATGTGAAAGGAATATTGCGGCTCAGGAGTCAAAATTTCTTTTGGGCAACTGACAGTTACTGTAGGTTTGTGTGTTACAGCCCCCTTCCCTGCCCTTCTTGTGTTTGAAGTCTATGTTGTATGGTTTCTTGCATGTTAAAGCTGAGTACAATGATTAAGGTATCTTTTTTCCTGATCAGAGTTTTTATTTTCTTAGTGCATGATAAAAACTTCTAGACAGAAAGGCCCAAGATATAAAAATTGACTCTCAATGTCAGAGAGGAAGAAAGCTATTCCTGGTTGTCTGAGTATAAAGCACACTTCTAATTAAAGTATCTTGATCAAATTTTTCTCCATTGAGTAACGCAGTGTGACTTAAGCAGGTGTACTTTTTCCTATTTTTTATTCTTTCTACTCAGGACTACTCTTTTCTACATAAGTGCATATTTGTTGAGCTTTAGATGGATGTTTAGATGTTGATGCCTTATTAGCTGAGTAGCTGGGAAGTCAATTTTCCATGAAGATCTAGAATCCAACTCCAGAATTAACTGAGAATTAACTCAGAATTAACTGAGGTGGGACTTAAACTGAATGTCTTATGCTGTAGGTTAATGCTGTATAACTTTACTGGTACTTTTTAAAAGAATTTCTTTTAATTTTAAGACAAAAAAGAAATTACAAAAACTTCCATATTTGAATGCAATATGCCTTCTATTTTGTTTTGTTTTAATCTATGCTGGAAATCAATGACTGTAGGTCTAAGGCAAGGGCAACTGATGTTACCTTTTCTGGGAACAGTCATAAGAGTTACAATAAATGATGTGAGACAAAGTTACAGACAGGGTTATAGAAGTGTTGGCCTATAACCCCGAGGGAAAGAAGTGTTGTATTTTCGTAATTTGACTTCCTTACTGTGTGCTAGGACTCACAATATTACACAAAGTCATGAATGATTAAAGTCTGCCATCCTTTTGAAGTAACCAGACTAGAAAAGCAGAATGCAGGTCCACAGATAAGCATTACTGATTTTCTTCTGTGTGGCTGAGGAATCTGAATTACCATTATGGCTCTTGCCCTATTTAAACTCAGATATGTACAGTTACACTAACAGTGTGCTACGTGGACTTCTACCCGTTGGTGACAACATCCTGTTTCTTGATATACAAAAGTATCACAGACCTCAGAACAGATATGTGGAAAAAAAACCCTTCAGGACAAAAGCAAAAGCTAAAATATATATTTTAAAGCTGCTCACAGTTTTGTCCTGAGCTCTGCAAGATGGCCTTAGATCAAAAACCTTGATCAAAGGTACTAATTACAGTGCTAAAATGTAAACGTTTTTACCGAGGGGATAAATATTTTTGGACAGCTATTAAAAAAAAAAACTAATGACCATGTGTTGTTATTTTTGCACTTCCTATGAAATGGTCTTTGTTTAATATATTGAGATGTTTTATTTTTATATGAGACTTGATCACAATATCATATTTTGAAAATCATTAAAAACTCACAGAAACAAAGAGCTGGAAAATCACTAACTTGCACTGTGGATTTATTTCAGTCTTGGCTGTAAACACTCCTAGACACACAGGTGTAAGAAGAGGAGGAAAAATCTTGGAGATAGTTGAAAAAAGGGAGGTGGGAAAAAAACCAAAACCCCAAATAAATCAAAGATTACGAACAACATGTATTTGCCTGGATGATCAAGAGACAAATTACAGTTTATATGTGCTCTTACCCCCATACCAACACCCACTTTATGTGGTAATTAAGAGACCTGATTCAGTGGGTTTAGAGAGAAATTCTCATACTCATGTAATGGGAATTGCATCTAGACTCTAAGCATCTCTTTTGCATTTATACTTGCAAAAACAGATTTTATATTTCCATTTCAGAGTATGTTGTGAGTGTGCACACTGGAAATTGCGGAAAGAAAACTTCTAGGAGATGCAATTTGTATAGTTCAAAGAAATTGAAGCCCTTATACCATCATGCAGTTGAAAAGTTAGGCCAGGATCTTTGCAGTGTGTTTAAATATTTAGAAACTTCTAAATAAATGACATTTTTATGAAGTTATATCACAGTTTGTCTTGAAAGGATCTAGTAACTATTCTAGCAATTATATGAAACTACCTGTTGTAGGGCACTGCATTTTTTTGGCAAGAAATGGAAGCATGACACAGCTACTGTATTAAATCAATCCTTTGAATATTCATCCTCTTTTTAAGTGGCACTGATTATTTGAGAGGGGAAAATAAGTAGTATGGAGGTGTGGATGAAAGAAGAAACCTTAGAAGTCAAGAAACTAAATGAAAAGTTCCTCTGCCAAGGTAGCAGCTGAATTAAGGAAATCTATGGAGATTGCCTGGATGCTGCTGGCCACCAGCTGATCTGCTGGAGTTGGCATCACTGCCACACCAGAAAAAAAAGAAAAAAGACTCCAGAATGAAAGGCAGATAGGATAGGAAGATCCTATCTTCCTACCAACCTGAAGAATTCCAGACTGAGGGGAAAAGGCAGTTTAGCAAGTCCTCACATGTTTTGAGATGAGTCAAATGCTTTAGCAGCTCTTAGCAGAGCCTGAGTCTGCTTTCATGCATCACATCACAAGCAATTGAATAGACCTTAGTTGTTTTGCATTTTTAAATGTGTTGTTTAGCAACTAACTCCATCAAGAATGAGTGTTATTAGTTGAAGATTAAGTAAGAAAACAGGACTCCTAATTCTTCATTTAACTTGTCCCCCGACCCAAGGATGTGCTCACTTGGTTCCCTGAAGCTTCTAACATGTAAAGAGGGTAAATAGGACAGGTAGTGTAAATGCAATATTTTGTCTGTAACCAAAACATTCAGCCATTTGTCTCCAAGGTGGCTCAGATTGTTTTCTATTCACTGTTTTGTCATTGATACAAAGAATGGAACTTCTCCCTTCTTTAAAAAATGCTCAAATCTGAACTGATTGGCAGATCTACACCAGCTCAATTTGACACTCAAGCAAAGAATGTTTCAAAACAGAGGTCCCATTTAGGAATGTGATGGCAAGGCCCATGCCACTACTGTAAATAATCTGGCAACAATTGCAATTGTCCTCTCAGCAGAAAGAAAAAAAGACTTTTCTAAGGGTAATCAAAAAGTCTTTAAAGCGATTCATAACTTTCTAAACTGAAGATAAAACACATGCAGAATAATCTACAGTGTGAACTGAGTATCTCTTTTATAGTCAGATGCTTAGAAGAAAGAATTCTACAGAGTCTCTCATGTTATTTCTACTGTATGATGTGTCTGCATGCTCAGTTTAACACTGTTTGATTTCCAAGGCAGGTCAGAGGTCAGACAGGCTGCTAGCTTTGGTGATATCTATGGCATAGCAAAAACACTGTGCAAGAACTGTATGATGCATATTTTATATTTATTGGTGGACTTTATTCCTAGGTTTCTGTTTCACTCCTGGCTGGTTTGAAACTAGCCTGGGTATGTATAAACAATGTAATGCTACTTGGAAGGCAATGTGGATATTTTTCTAGATGCCCTTGCTAAACAGCTAAACAGAGTGGTAGGAAATTTAATTTATATCAAAAGACATGTGAATAAGCCTGCCTAAATTCTTAGCTCAGGCTCGGGTCACGGTCAACAGGACTTTGAATCTAATCTTTCCATTTGCTACTTAGAGAAGGGCTGAACTTCCAGTGGGCTTGCTCAGCACCATTTCCCTGTTCCTCCTTAGCCTGTTCTAGCCATAAATACTGTTCTTTTCTGGTGCTCACATGGTTGTATGGACCCCTTTTGCATGCCTTCAAAATGACAGTCTCCTGGGATGTTTTCAGGGCATGCTGCCTACTTCCTACCACTGCAACAATGGCGTGTAAAAAGATGTTCTGTAGAGAAAAGTGTTTTTGAGCAAGCAGTCAGCATAATTATAGGACAAACTAGCACTAGGCTGCTACCTGTCAGCCAAGAGAATTATTATCTGTGTCAGAGATGGAGTAAGGAGGGAAGAGGATGGGAGATCACCAGAGAACGTTATCTTGGTGACAGCTTTGCCAAAAGAATGTGTAGGAGACAGTGGAAGAGAAGTAGAGAGGAAAATGCTATTGAATTGAAGTAGAGGAAGAAGCCTTGAAAAAGGTTGATAAAATTTTCCAGAAACTAAAGGAACAGGACCATTTTACCTTTTCTGTGGGTGCTAAGAGGTAGTACTAGTCAGTATGCCTGGATCCAGGGCAGGAGCTGACCGTGTACACAGCTCTGTGGTATTTGAGAAGGGCCAACTGGAGCTAATAAGCACCTGGAACCATGTGCATGGTAAATAAGAGTCTTTCATGAGACTGTCTCTGCAGTTAAATGGTAGTCCTGTGTGATAGGGAAGCACTAGGTGTTGAGATTTGTAGAAACATCTCTAATGAAAGGTGAAAAAGACCTTTGCTATAGCAGGTTTCTGGGACTAAATTGGGTACAAAACACAAAGAAAACTGCAGATAAGTGTTACTGATGGGGCTAGGGAGCCTGTACTATTCTGAAGTGCTGCTATAATGAAAGTCAGGTATTAAAGGCTGTGCCAGGACCTAGTGAAACTGAAGGACTTTCAAAATTTATTGTTAGTTTGAAGTTCTGATTCAACAATTGCTGTCTTAGAGCCCCTTATGTTGTGGCTTATATCTACCGAAGACAGCATGGAAAGGATATCTGGAATTAGAGAAACAAATACTGTGCAATATAGTTACTGTGCAGTTTGTTGCAATTTACGGTATGGAAAATTGCATTCTGTATTCTCTAATTCTGACTGAATAGAA